AGCTGAGGCTTTGGTGTTTGGTGATAAAAAGCAAAAACTGAAACGTTAGAACATCTCATCCTGAAGGGGTAGACGGATGTGTGCACCAAATTTCTGTTAATACACTGCTGATGTCTCATTCAAAGCAGTGGACTGACTGACTGACTGGCCACCATCCCTACAGCCATGCCATGAAATGTCAAAATAAATGAAGCAGAGGATTTTCACAAAACCTTCATCTCTTCAAACTTCACGTCCTGTGTTTGTGACGCAGGTTTTCCCATAAAAAATCTAACCAAAACTCAATCCGTTCTTAGATTTCATAAGCTTCCTTCACAAATATGACGCTTCTCCTCTCGATTTTTTATTAGCAGGAAAGCCGACACTAGCTATCAGCATGTGTGTGGAAATTTGGCATCATCTCACAGACTTCTTTGTTAAATATTAATTGTGTTTGCATATCTCATCTCTAATGTTTCCCCTCATGGTGTCACTCGCTGCAGTGTTTGCGATATGTTTCTGGCAGACCATCTGTCAGCAGAGAAAGACGCTCGTGCAGCCTGCATGAAAACTGACTTGTCTTTTGGAGCGTCTCAGGCCTTGTGTAAAAACCGGCTTCTCCGCCTCAGACCAGTCGTCTCCATCTCTCAGCTCGTCGTCTCCTTCGCCGTGGACGTCCGTCTGCCCCTCAGGCTCTGTGCCGTTCACGAAGCATCCTGCACGAAGAAACAGAAAGTGAGGGAGGAAAGTGGCGAGTCATCATTCCAGGGATGGATGTAACTGTGTATTTTAGTCTGTAGGAGAGATCGATATCAGCAGCGGAGGAGAGAGGAAACAGGATGAATGGGGAGAGGTGGAGTGAGGAGGCAGGGAGGGAGGAAGGAACCGGGTAACATTTGAATCCGGAGAGGCAGGAAAGTAAAAGGGACAAACCGGGCAGGAAGAGGAGAGGGGCAGCTAAATGAGATGCTTAACAAGGACAAGGAGGACGGATTGACAACCTGAGGAAGACGCTGTACGTGCAGAAACCAAATAACAGAACATCTGATTGTTTCAGATCGATGTCAAGGACAAGGCTGAACATGCCGTCTCCGAACAAGTGATGGCACGAAGACTTTGATCTTCAGTAACAAGCTGCATCCCGTCGGGCTTCATCTAAATCTATTTTTAAACTACAAACTTGTAAATCCGTTTTGTCACAGATTCAATTTCCAACTGGGTGACGTGCATATAAATTAGAGGGCAATGAGACAAAATGTATTTATGATCAAACCCGTGAGGAGTTTCTCTACCTGGACAAGGAGGTGGGAAGAGGCCAATGTCGGGCATTCGATACACAATGTGGTCGTTCTGTCCCTGAAGGATGACAAAAAAGAAAGAAAGGAAGTCAGAGGAAGAAGATGAATGCTTGTGGGGTTTTTTTCTGCAGCTAAAAAGCAAAAATGCAGTGAAGAAGGTAACTAAACACAGTAGCCCAAGTACTGCACTTTATTTTTTTAAATGTTCTGCTGCTTTGTACCTGGTATTTGTGGTATTTGTTAGCCCACATCTTCAGTTATGGTTTACAGACTAAAAATGCACTTAAAGACACATGATACACTTGGAAAACACAACAAATTATTAAAAGATTAAACCAGTTGTCCAAGACATTACTGTCTTTTATGACTTCTTATAATTCATTTATCTTGTTTCACATAAAAAAAGGATGTCAGGACAGTGGTCTGGTTTACTTGTGACGCTAGACGAGCACTAAAAAAAGATTCATTATGCATGTCTGCTCAAACAGGAAGGACATTTCCAGAAGTAAAACCTCACTTCAAGGCAAAAAAACAAACCTACAGTCAGACTGCAGCATAAAACGAATAATGTCACAGTTCCAAAATTCTATATTTTTGCATTGTCTACAGAAGCAAAGTTAGTTAGTTTGCTAAACAAGATTTTCAAACACAAATAGTAAAATAACAACAAATCTACCAAAACATATTACCCTGTTTTGATAAAAAAATGACTATTTGAAAGTGTAAATAAGGATGGAGAACTGTTTCCTGATATCTGTGCTCCTGTTGTCACTTTTATCCATCTGTCCATGGATGGATGGATGGATGGATAGATGGATGGATGGATGGATGGATCATTTTGGAGTTGAGAAAAAAAAAGTTAGATCGCCATAAAACTTCCCCTCAAGCCAAAAAAAAAAGCCAAAGTCAGACTGAGGTCCAAAGGAAATCTCACATTCATCAGATTTTGTCCAACAGAAGTGAAATCACAGAACTGAATATGTGAACAAACTGGGTTTTAAATGATTTAATAATACCAAATGCAGCTCGACAACTGTGACAAACTAAAGAAAACATGTTTTGACAACCTACAAAACTCGGAACAACTTTGTCTCGTCCTGAACTTAAGAGCTCTGGTGTGTGAAGAAAGCGCCGTCCTCTGAGGCAGAGACAGTTCAGCGGGAGGAAAGTGCTCTGATGCATAATTAATCAATCACAGGGCTGTCATAATGGCAGTAACACTACTGGACACGGTGGTACACTTGAGCTGGGGATGAATACTTTATGAAAATGACCCATCTGAGATAGAGAGCCGTGGAGAGAGAAACAGAGTGCGGGAGTTTGAAGATGAGCTGAGAGGCTATTGATCCATCTCTCCAGTCTATGTAATTGAGCTGTACTTCGATTGCTGTAGACCTTAATGGAAAAAAAAAAAAAAAAAGCTCAGCCTCCTCCACTCTCAACACTTTCCCCTTCGCTCTGTTACACGTCTGTTTCTTTTTTTTTTATTGAAAATCAAATCTGAATATTTCCTAAACTTTTTGTTTTTGTCAATTATTTCTACCTTCTCTTCCTCTGACTCTGCCGGAGGATGTTTCCCTTTGGAAGCGAAGCAGGAGATGCTGGATTGTGTATCAACTCAATACCTTCCATACAGCAGCTCAGAGATAAAGTGTCTGCACTGACGGTAATTCACAGAGAGTGGAGACACACAGAGAAAGTCAGACTTGGTGAAGAACCCAGAGATTTTTTGCTGAGTTATAAAGTGCCAGTGTGTCACTACTAATCCAACTGGTGAACCTTTTGAACCCCAAGCAGTTTCTGGGCATTTCTAACCCACTGTGGGCTCATTTTACACCTCAATATAAAGTCCTGCACCTCTATGGAAACAGCACAAGCATGACTAAAGGTATAAAGAGCTCAAACATGTCTTCTGTGCACTATGATACAGTTATAATGCCATAACACAGAAACAATGAAAGTTTAATTTCTATGATTACTTTTTTGGCACAAACCTTAAATAACCTGGAATCAACATGTACGACATCTTTCCAAATACCTACAAATGTTACGGATACTGGGGGGGGGGAATGGGGGCTCTTCCATCCATCCACCCATCCATCCATCCACCCATCCATCCACCCATCCATCACTTAATCCTCACTAGGGTCGCAGGGGAAAATGGGGGCTCTTCCATCCATCCATCCATCCATCCATCCATCCATCCATTATCTATACACCGCTTAGTCCTCACTAGTGTCGCATGGGAAAATGGGGGCTCTATTTGCTGTAAATGTTTTACTAATTCAATTTTTAATTTGTTTCCATACTTGTCTTCTATCTGCTCTGTGAAAACGCAGCTTAAATGTTGTCACTTTGCTGATTTTGCAAAGGTAACATGACTTTCATCAATCATAAAAAACTAACTTTTAATTCCTCTGTGTGTTTATCTCACAAACACTAAAATAAAATAAAATAAATTTAAAAAAAAAAAACTGTAATCAGTGTGCACAGTTCAGCCAAAAAGCAATTTCACTTCTGAATTCTGTTGGTCACTAATGGCTTTTCTGTTTTTGGTTGTTTACAGAAAATGTTTTTTAGCAAATTTCAAAATAAGACAGGCAATTTCGATTAAATATCATGATTGTAAGGTCAGATTTGCTTAATTTTCTCAATGGAACAACACGTTACAGATGAAGTTCAAGGATCCTCGAAAAGTTGCCAGTTTACAGTTTCTGCCTGTAACAAATTCTGTCATTTCATGCCTTTCATCTCTACCTGCAGGTTCACTGAACTCCTCACTCACCTGTCCACCGCTAACAGGCTCAATCCCGTAAGAGAAGTTCCCATCAGAAAACATCCCCCTGAAAAAAAAATACAAGTTCACTTCATTGCACCCACTCACATGTGACATTTGCTGCAAACCTAAACTACCAACATACTGTGTGATGAGCTGAGGATGTGCACAGTTGTCCTCGTTAGCAACAGAAATGTGCAAGTTTAAAAGGTTTGCTCGAATTTAAGTCAACTTGCTGCTTGCTTTGTTAGTTAAGTGACAAATGCTTCATTTGTGGCTGCACAGTACAATTAATCGCATAATTAGCTTTTATTTGTTTCCGTGAGAATAATTTTAATTTGTAAACATACTAAAAATGAGGTGATTCATAAAACTGTCTTTATTAAATCTGGACGTTTATGTGGCATAAAAAAAAAAATCTTGGGTCCCTGACTTTCAGATGAAGTGACACCAAACAGTAAAGCGTTGGACTCACTGCAGACCGTGGCAGGTGGACACGGCGACCCAGGAGCCCGGCAGCCCCCGCACTCGCCCGTGATAGTAGCAGTGCTCGCCTCCCTGAAACCAAATAACAGATTACAGTCGGACACCAAAGCCTCCATCATCCAGTAACGTGTTCATGTCACATTTCAGAAAATGAAACCAACACTGTCTGCTAAACCCTCGCTGCCACCGATCCCCTGAACCCTAAATACACAAAGGGCCGGTACTTTCCATCAGCCTGGAGCCGGCAGTTGGCTGGGTGGGTTGGTTGAAGGGGATCGGTGACTCAGAGTCTGAGGAAGCCAACACCCGCAGGTGACTTTCAGCATGGAAAAGCTCTGTGTGTTTATCTGAGTGCATTTAAAGGGCACCAAGGACGAGAAGCAGCAAACAGAACTGAGTCCAGATTCAGTAAAAAGTCAGTGTAAGTGAAGACAAAGAAGTGAATTCAGGTTTTTCATTTAGACGGCAGCTTCTCACATAAAAGTTTTGTGCATGACCTGAACACATTATCGTCAGCATAAAAACTCCTTATTCTCATTTAATCATGAAATCAATCAAAAACCATCGGATTCAGGAAATAACCCACCTCAAGGTTACAGTGTGGAATTTGATAGTGAGGAGGTGGACTGTATCAGGAATCATTCAGGAATACCAACTCAGCAGAACGCAC